GTGGGGCACCCACTCTTCTGTAAATAAACCCCTACCCTATGCTCTGTTAAAAGAAAATTTTAAAAATGATGAGGGTATTCCCACACTGCTAATCAGACAAAATGTTTTCAGGAATAGTAAATCAGGATCCACCTAGTCCAACCTACTTTGAATTTTGGAGCCTGGAATCTCCTGGGGAGACCCAGAGCTCACTGAAGAGATGTGATTTCCTACCCTTTCGGTTCACTGTGGTAATCTCAATGGCTCTAAGCAACATTGAGGGCTCCTGGGTCACTTGCTCTCAAAGATCATCCAGATTGCCACAAACCTCTGCTCCCCGAACCACATTTTATTTCTAGCTCTGTACTGTGTTCTTTTTAGGAGCGGTGTTCATTCCTGTTCCCACAGCAGTGTGGTACGTCCTGTTTTGACCTTGTCCTGCATACCCCATAACTGATAGTTTTCTTTCTCACCTTATAGACTCTTCGATGGGCCAAGATCAAGTCTTAGGCGTCATCTCTGTATGTTCTCCACACTTCAAAGCACACAACAGATACATTATGAACTTTGTGGCTTTTGAAATATAAGGAAGTCCAATAGAGGTTGCCTATTTCTCTCTGGGGTATCCAACCTCCAGTACATCCTGCAAGCGCCTGACAGGTCAATTTTCAAAAGGTCCAGTTTATTTACAGCTCCTCATAAAGTGTGATTCCTTGTTCTAGCCTTGGCAATGTGCTGACAGTAAAAGTTTCCAGTCTTTAGTTCCTGTTAGCACTCAAAATGACCCCTGACAGTAGGTCCGTTGTCTCCTTTTAGTGGACAATGGCTCTTCTAGAATGGCAACCCTTTACTTTGCCTACCTTAGTTAATCCTGCCTTACTGACTCCAGTGAAGGTGACCTTATCATCTCTCAGGGTAGGGCAGGGGTGGGCTTGCCACCCAGGAGCAAGCCTGAGCCAGTATTCATGATTAGTTCAGGATGGACACCTACCTAATCAAAAGGATACAGTGAAAGTACAGCTGGGTAGTCACCTTGACAGTGAATTCCAGTTTGGAGAGGATGGCTAGCTTAGAGCTGCTTCTCAAATCCTGTACCATATGATATCAAAATCAAAGACAACTCAGCGAAGCAAGTCCAAAGGACAGGAAGAAACCCGGCTTTGCCTGAGTGCTGAATTTGCCTATGCCACTCCAGCCATACCCCATCCACAGGTCTGTCTGGTTATGCAAAATAATACGTGTCACTTGTGCTTAAACAAGTTTGGTTTGGGTTTTCTTGCAAAACCCATCAAAGCAGTCTGATAGATTTCTGAATGCACTTGATCATTCTCAACTGTACATCCTGGCTCAAGCTGTCAACACCTGAAATGACCTCCCCTCCTCTGCCCAGTCCAATTTACTAATTCTTCAAGACTGAATCACAGTTTACCTACTGTAGCATAATCCCTTCCCTGCAAACTCCTTTGGCAAGAATCACCTTGACCCGTTTTGTTCTTA